TGGGTTCTATAGCCTTGGATGGCAACTGGTCTAGAAGGACAATTCTGAATTCAAAACCTGCAGAGGGTTGTTTGGGAACCTTGAGGCACCCCGTGCACCAGATTTCTGTATTCGGCCCTTAAAAAGTGTGGATGGTCCTGCACGAAACCTTCACCACTATAATCAAATCATATGTGCAAATGTCCTGGCTGTTGGTTTCTAGGAACTGAGCTGCTTGACCCTCGTATGTCAAATACTATGGGAGTCCACTATATAGAGTAAAGGTAATAAATCTATTAGTATTCTAATCCAAGTGAATCCTAATATAAAATATTAAAACTGATCCACAAAAAGAGCTCAATGTATTTATACAGAGCAGGTAAATAGTAAACAAAAAACAAAAAAAAAACATTCAAACTTACCTCACATGGGGTATAATTTTGAATTTTTTAGTTTACTATTTACTTGCTCTGTATAATGAATATATTGAGCTCTTTTTGTAGATCAGTTTTAATTTTATATTACTAGGATCCACTTGTAATTTATTTATTTCTCTTTCACACACATATATATATATATATATATATATATATATATATATATATATATATATATGTGTGTGTGTGTGCAGTTCTTATTGGAAAGTGTTCAATATCACTCATAGAGCTGACATTTTCAGTTATATGTATGAGTTTGTGATCCTGTGTTTCACACTTTTGCAATCATCAGACAACAAACTGGTTTATTTTTTTGAAATTGGATTTATTTATTTTTGTTTGACTGTTGATGGGAAGGGGAATCTACTTCTGTGTTTGTTTGGGGGTTACCCTTTCATAAACATACATGCATACAGGTGTACACATTTTAGTTCACACAAACACATCCATATAAATAATCGGAGGTTAGGTGCAGATACACATCCATGCATTCAGGCATACATACATATGCAGTCGTGATACTATTTCAGTGTGGGGATGTAAATTATAAGTAGTGATGTTCCTTTCCACAAGGAGTGGGTAGGGGTGTTCTTGACGCTTTTCAGATCTACTGTCTTCACCATCAGAGAAACTTACACTTCTCACACACATACATATGTAGATGTGCACATACTCTTATTGGTCTGGCTCTTTGGTTAAGCTGTTTGTTAGTGCTATTGCTGATATTGAATACTTTCTACTGAATACTGCACATATAAAAGAATAAAATAATATTATTTGTTCTATTTTTTTTTTTTTTTTTTTTTTTTTTTTTTTCCCAAGACGAATAAAACAGTTCTGTTGATACCACAAATTGATCTGCTGATCAGTTACAAAAATTTGAAGGCAGATTGGGATGGCAAAAGATGCTAAGAAACCTGTTACAAGTCTTCATATACAGCAGTGAATGCTGGATGATTTCCTTACAGATGAAGACTTGAACCAACAAAAATGTGCTCCTGCATGAGGAAACTGAGAACACCATGGACCAAACATGCAAGCAATGATGAAGTTCTAGTGACAATAGAAACAAAATTCCCGCTTATGGAACTCCCTTCCAGCTCTGTTTTCCAGCCAACTTTAATCTGCAAAAATTTAAATGCAATGTCAATCGCTATCTACTGTCCACCTGATTAATCTCTTCTCTTTCTGCTCGTCATTTTTATTCCTAATTCTTCCACACCCTATAACCCCTTGTGTTTTAGTGGCATTACTGCCTTGCTTGGGGTAATTCTGTTAAAAAGAAAAAACAAAAAGACATTGATGCTTAGCATCAGAAAGAGGCAGTTGGGCCACATAATGAGGAAATAGGGCTTGGAAAAATTTGATACTCACAGGATAGATTGGAGATAAGAGGGTCTGAAGAAAGCAACTCATAACCTATCTTGCACTTCTCACCTGTGGAACTCTTCTGATTTTTTTCTTCTCTGCCACCATCAATTGCCATTCTCTTGTTTTCCTGAATCCTGTTCTTCTTATTGTCATTTCTCATTACTTAAGTCTTCTCTTTTCCTCTCAGTAATCCTTGTGTATTAGTGGCATTATCCTCTTGCTAAAAAAAAAAAAACAATAATATGGAACCATCTAATTTTTAATTAGTTTTATTAGTCCGAAAACGGTGATCATGGCTCTCTACAATTTCCTGTCCTTTGTAGCTCATAATAAATTGGCTTTGCTAGCTATCCCAAAGCTTCACCATCCACCTAAACCTAAAAATTCAACTGAGTAGTAGTAACATTTCCTGAATTTACCAACAACCCTCAAACCACTTTATATTATTATACAAGGAAGAGATGTAGGCTCGGGTAAGAAGACTTTTTCAAATAGCAAAAATGATGCTAGGCTATTGACCCATTATGATGCAGGCTTGCCAATCTAGGTCGGTTGTGACGCATCAGCATATGGGGTGTGGGCAGTGTTGACACATGTTATGCCAAGTAGTTCATAAAAAAAAAAAAAAAAAAAATTGATTATGCCTCATAAATGCTAAGTGAAAAACTACAACTTTGAGATGTATATAAATCTGGAACCGAGAATGCTTCACC